TTTAAATATAAAAATGTCTGGAATGGTTTGTTTGTTCTCTTTGAATCCAAATTTTCATACAGCTTCATGCTAAAGCTCTGGGGTGCCTGCCTGGATTTTGGCCTGCTCCCATCTACATCTATTGTATAAAAACAGTTAAAGGCATTCTTCTCTTCTGTTGTATTCCATTTTGTTTGAATGGTATGTCCTGTCTCACCCCTCCAAAATGTATGGTATATTCTAAGCCTGTGGTCCTGCCCTGAACCATCCTGTATCTGTCATCCCATTGGCCCAATGTGATTCCGCGCCCACTTCAATTCCCCTCTTAAGCTGTGCTATGAGATCAGTCGGTCTCTTAGCCCTTGCTCTCTCTCAGCCTCTTCCCCTCCTCTTGCCCCTTCCCTCCCCTCGGCTCCCCCTCCTTCCCCCTTCCCCCCTTTTCCCTCAGTAGCCATGCTGTTCCCGGGGTTGGGATCCCAAATAAACCTTCATCTGATCAGCACCCTCAGAAGCCGTGTGGAGTCTCCTTGCCTGCCTGCTGCTGCCAGCCAGCTCACATCCTAGGGGACCCTCCGGGGACAGCCCGGGGTGCCCCACCCCAAAACGCACCACAACACTCTTCTCCTTTTCCCCTGCAGCTGGAAGGCACTATACTCTGCTCTCAAGAAAACAAACATCAGTGCTGCCTGTTGTATAAGCCTCTGGTTGGTTCAATTTGCTTCTCTGGAGTGGCCCATATATCTGCAACTTCATCCAACAGGGAGGCTGTGTAGGTGCAAGATTAAAATCTTTCCAATCAGACAATTTTCAAATGCATAAAAAGCTCAGCTTCTGTCAGGAGCCTCCCCTGTTTAGACAAGGTGAGCAGGAAATTTAGACATCTTCCTAAGATGTGAGGGGTGGAAAAAGAGCAGGAATAGGATGACATCGGCCTATTTAACTCAGTGAGTTTTTGGAGTCTGAGGACTCTTTAATATTGTGTATTTTCACATCTAAGGTGGATGCTGCAATGAGGTGTTTGTGTTGAACACTCTGTGGATAAGCTGCTTCTCCTCTGTGCCTCAGCACTGGAATGGACATCAAAATCTAGCACCTAGACATCAAGGTGAAATTTCCATGCATTAAAATATAGTCAAATACTTCTATAAAGAGACTTAATGTCAGAGTACCACTGCAGGAATTGCTTGAATATTTTCTTCTCAGAAAATAAGTAATAGACCAGAAATGAGAGTTGAGAAAGGAAGACTTCCTCAGTTTAACAATGTACAGAGGAATATGTGCACCAGGGCAGTCTGTCAGCACCAGCTGATGATTCCTGCATCTGGGTCCTGTTTCACAGCAAAGCCTGTATTCCTAGCTTTGGAACAAAAGATTACCAGAGAAAACTGATGGAAAACATATCCCAGTTATTGACTAAGCAGTCTCACCTTCACCCTGCAGCTAACATTTTAAAAGGTAAAAAAACCTCCATATTTATCCAAATAACCCATTTGGTGTATTTCTGCTCCAGATAAATGAAACAATATTCCATTATAATCTCTGGCCCTGTTTTATCTTTTTCTAAGTAGACTTGTTATGACAAAATCTCTTTCATTTTAATGAATTTTTTTCCAGATATCATCTTCATAAAACTAGCACTCAGAGAGGCATAATCATTATTTTTAATAGAAGAGAATTAATACTTGTTAAAAATACTGGAGGATTGTCACTACTTATGTTTCCCATCTCCAAGGAGAAGAAGAGCAAGGGTTCCTCAGATCTGCTTTTCCAGGGTGATCTTCCTACCATTTTAAGATCTGGTCTCCAAAAGTGGGTAAGTGCTGGTTTATTTTCAGCATACAAATAGCTGAGATTATCAAGGTGTTTCAATGGCACAGGTTTAAAATGAAGCCTAAATACTTGACTGCCTTCGGGATGTGACTTTTTATAGGACTCATTTTTAGTTAACAGCTTTCTCTGCTTGGATTGAGATTTCCAGTTCATTCCACGTTTACCACTGGAGAGCTCAAGGTGGTAAACCATGTTCAGCTGCTGGCACCATCCAGCCTGAGCCAAGATGAACAAGCCTAGAAGTGAAGGAGAATGCAGCCTGTACCTTGATTTCCTTGGGGGGGGGGGGGGGGGGGAAGAAGCAAAGATGACTGCAAGTGTAGGACTCCTAGCAGTTCCAGCTTTGCCATGGCAAGCATATGCCAAATATTTTCTAAAGTGACCCGAATTAACCTTATTGCAGTGGCAAAACCTGTGGGCCCCTTTCTCCCCATGCAGGCAGAGCTGTCAAGGACACAGCAGTCCTGCCTCACTGCTGACAACCCACAGGCATGTCTCAGGTGCCAAAGGACATTTCATATGGCCCCAATAACCTGTGTTTAAGCAACAGAGCTGTCCCCTCCCCTCCTGACAGAATGGTCCCAAATGGGGCTTTGCTCCCAGGCACACCAAGGACACACAATCCTGTTGCTTGGCCAGCATTCTCAGGAATAGTCCCACTGATCTAAGGCATGCCAGGATTTCATTTACTGCTGGGAAATGTGAAACCGCTCTGGTTAAAGTGTCTTAATTAGGCCATTAGAGCCTGGTATAAAATGGCTGAGATAAACAGGGTCAGGAGGGCAAAGGATATTGTCAGTGCATTGTAAAGCCTTTGCTGCTCAGCTCAAGCTGTCCAGAAGCACATTTCCATGAAATAAAACACTGGAGCCCTCTGAGTGGTGGCTCCTGGAGGTCCCCTGGGTCAACGCTTTTCACATAGTCAGCACGTGGGCAGGGAGCCAGAGCTTCTCTGCTCGCTGGTGCCTTGTGCTGCTTGGACATTCAGTTTCTAATTCCGGTGTGTTTTAACTTAGTCCAGCTTTGGGGTTTGCTGAGTGTGTTTGGGGCAGTTTGAAGGGCCTCATCTTTGGTTTTCCTGTCCAAGGGCTGGTTCCTGAATGAGGGCTCTGGCACCTGTTTTCCTCATGGATTTCCAGGAAGGATTTAACAACTATGGTGACTCTAGGAGACTGAGCTGGAAGAATGTGGGGAAGTGTCAGATCTAGGGCCTATATTTGTGTGTACACAGAATCACAGGATGGATTGGGTTGGAGGAAACATCAAAGCCCACCCAGTGCCACCCCCTGCCATGGGCAGGGACACCTTCCACTATCCTGGGTTGCTCAGATCCACATCCAACGTGGACTTGAATGCTTCCAGGGATGGAGCAACCACAGCTTCTCTGGGCAACCTGTGCCAGGGCCTCACCACCCTCACAGGGAAGAAATTATGCCTAACATCCAATCTAAACCTATCCCTTTTCAGTTTAAAGACATTCTCCCTTCTCCTATCACTCCATGCCCTTGTAAAAAGTCACTCTCCAGCTTTCTTGTAAGCCCCTTTTAGGTACTGGAAGGTGCTATAAGGTTTCTCCAGAGTCTTCTTTTCCACAGGCTGAACAAATCCTGCTCTCTCAGCCTGTCTCCATAGGAGGGGTCTTTCCTAGCATTTTTGTATCCCAGTGGGTACAAAAGAAAGTGGCAAATCCAATATATTCACCATAAAAGAGCAAAAGAGGGACCTCTGGAATGGCATAACATACATCTAGATGCTAACACCCTTTTTTTTTAAATTTGGAAACTCATCATTTCTGATCTCAAGAATTTATGCTCAGAAGTGCAATAAGGTTGGAGGTTGTAGATCTGAGAGACTAAATCTAAGTGTGAAACCCTCAGCTTGTTACTCACTACTAGCAGTCTGCACACTCCTGTGACTAGATTAATATTCTTATAATATAAGAGTTAGTACTTGATCAGGCCCTTTTAATTTGTCTTTATTCCAAACCGTATTTTTTTTTTTTTTTTAAATACAGTGGTTAACAAATACTATTAATGAGTTTGCTTGTAATTTGGAGAGCTGTCTCAGGTAACTCACACCTGAAAAATCATAAAAAATATATAGTTTGATTCTTAGAACCATTAGTGAAAATCACATTTCTGCTAAAAGAATGCACAGTATTTTTAAGAATAAGAGTCCCCTACTGAGGATAACCTTACCTTGGAACTGGACACTTCCATCCCATACTGAATGCGTGGTTTGGTGGGTTGGTCCTTGGTTTTGGGCAGTGAACTGAAGCAGAGTGGGTTTGTGCAGCCCCCCTCTGCACCTGTGGCCACCAAGATATGGCCTGAAGCCTCTGTGGCAACCATGCTCTTTTCCAGCTGGGTATGTTGGGGGAGCCCTGGCAGCACTGGCACGACTCAGGCTCTGGGCAGCCCAGCAATGGCCCCAGAGGAACGGGCAGGGACTGATCCCAGGAAATTCCACCTGGACATGAGGCAGAACTTCTGTCCTGTGCAGTGACCGAGCCCTGAACAGATTGTCCAGAGAGATTGTGGAGTCTCCTCACTGGGGATCCTGTGCCCTGTGCTCTGGGATAGCTGTGCTGGAACACGGAGATGGCACCAGCTGACCGACCCACTATGGCCTCTTCATCCTGACCCATCCTGTGATTCTGTGTACTCCTGCACAGCACTGCAGCATGCTCTGCTTCTCATTAAAAACAATAACTACAGGAGTTGTGGTTCCTGAAGTTTGCAAGCCATCAAATAGAGAGTGACACTTTTGGACCACTCCAAGCACACTCTCTCAGCTGTGGCGAAGGGTCGCCGTCCCCGCACGCCCCCCAGTTTGGGCTCCCTCAGCCGCTGCCCCTCGGGTTCCAGCCCCAGGGAGCCGCCCTCGGGGAATCACCGACTGGGGGTCTCGGCAGCCCCTCTCCGGGCCGGCGGGGTGCCGGGGCCGCCTGCCCGGAGGCTCGGTCGCGGGCCCCGAGGCTCGGTCCCCTGCCCGGGGCGGGGCAGGGGCGGGCTGGGGCGGAGGCGCGGGGGGCGGGCGGGGGCCGGGCCGTGCCGAGCCGCGCACCGGACTCCTGTCAGCTCTTTCGGCACCGGGGCCGCGCTCAGCCCACGGCTTCCCCAAGGATCGCTGTTTTTCGCTTTGATTATATTTTAAATTTTTTTTTTTTTTTTTTTTTTTAACCGCGAAGGGGAGGAGCGCGGAACCCAGCTGGAAAATGAACCAGAATGTCTGAGAAAATGTCCAGCTTTCTGTACATCGGGGACATCGTGTCCCTGTACGCTGAGGGCTCCGTCAATGGATTCATCAGCACGCTGGGGTGAGTGGGGCCGGGCGGCAGAGCCGTGTGCGCAGCGGGAAGCCGGCCCGAGGGCAGCGCCGGCGGCAGCGGTACAGGAAGGGGCGGCAGCGCTGCTTGGCGGAGCGGGGAAAGTAGGAAGTGATGGGGAGCGGCCGGGGATGAGAGAAGTTCCCGAGCGGGGCCCGGGCGGCCGCGGTACCGGCGGCGGTGCCGGGATTCCCGCTCGGCTCCTGCCGGGGCTGCGCCCCCGCGGCGGCCCCGAGCGCAGCACCAGAGCCCGCTCTCTGCCATGCCCAAACGCCTTCCTACGGTCTTTATGTACAGCTGACCTTTTAATTAATTAATTAATTGCCCGTCCGAGAATTTTTGACAAAGATGTGAAAGGCAAACCCTTTGCTTTCTTCTTATCGTCCGAATCAGCTTATTAAATGTGTATCCCTTTATTTCAGGTTTGTGTCCAGCACAATCTGGTTGTCACTGGTGAGATATTTATAATCAGATGTTTAACTTCATGGGGATACTTTTCCTCTGAGCTCTTTCTCTTTGCGAGGTGAAAAGATGTATTTTACTTCACTGAACCGCTGCTTGTTTCAGGTTTTTATTAACAGTGGCCACTGCAAATCACCGTTTTGGAATCCAGGAGAGAAAGCCTCAGCGCAGAATGACAAATACACTGATACATTTCTTTACATTGATACATTTTTAAAACCGTCCTGTAGTTCGGTTGCAGTGACCTGACCGGAGGGCGTGGTGGTTCCCTCTGATGTTTGTAGGAGAGCTGCGGGAGCTTCAGTGACTTTGTGGCATGTCCTTTACCGCTGGAAAGAGCTCCTGTGCTGCATGGTTGTAAGTGATGCGATCGGCAAGGCAGGTCAAACTCTAGTAAATACCTGCTTAAACATTAGCGGTACCCTCGGAGTAGCAGTGAAACTTGCTAGGGCAAGTTAATGTGTGCCTGGGAATCGCTCCCGTGTTTGTGTTTGGCTCCCCGTGTTCTGAGATCCCTGCAATGGGGGGACTGTTGGTTTGAAATTGTGAACAATGAATGTCTAGGTTAACGTGGTGTGCTGCTGCTACTGGAAAAGAGCTGGTGTTCAAGGTCTTTTATACTTTTTGATACCTTATTATTGCGTCCAGTCCTTGCTGTTCATTCTTCTGATCTGTTCACAAGTGTTTTTCCACTGTCTGTTCCTCTTTTTGTTAATTTGGCGCCTTGTCTCTCCATGACTCCCCATGTTGTCTCACATCTTTTGTTTTGCTGGCTCTTACAACTTTAAATTCCGTCTGAAAATTTTTGCTTTCTGTAGATATAAATTGCTGGATATTGTTTCTTATTCTTGTTCTCCCCAGCACTTTCTTTTTGCTGGCACAGACTGTTGCTGGTTGATGGTGTTGTTGTGTCTCATCACTGGGTTCTGTTATCTGGAGGAAGCTGTGTGTGCCATGCTTTTGCTTTCATTGTGTTCCTCCTTTCTGAGAACATCTGCTCATGGCATGGATGTTCCTGCTGTGACTGGTGCTTGGACAGCTGTCACTTGAATATGTTTTGGCATCACCCTGACACAGTATTCAGACTGCTGATCCTCCCCGATCCCTCAGAGTTAAGGCAGGACATTTACTCCCAGTTTTATAGAGGAGAAGCCAAGATCCAGGCTTGCCTAGGGCACATGGAGCTCTTTACTAAAAGAAACAAGTGAGCTCGAGCCAACATGTTCTATCCAGGCTCTCTTTTAGCCAGGGAACCCAGCTCAAAAAAACTACTTGGGATGAGACAGGAGTTCAAGAATGCTGATGTACCTCTGTTGGCTTTTCAGTACAGCCTTTTTTTGCCCTGCTCCCTGGCATGGTAAAGGCAGCTGCAGAACCAGGAGGTAGGAGTGGAGGAGCTCTGGGAAGCTTGAAGTCACCAGTGGAAAACTCCCATGGCTACTCAATGGGAATGCTGACCCCTCTGCTGGTGGTACAAGAGCTCGGACTGAAATTTAAAATTGTGATGCCAAGTGACTTTATCCATGCCAGCTATTGCAATTGCTGCCTTTCAACTGGCTGCAGCAACACAGGAGGGAGAAAAACCTCTTATGTTCAGGGAAAAAGCTTGGCCAGCTGCACTTTTGGTGTGCAACCATTGCTGAACTCCTGCACCGTCTGCATTCCTTCAGGTTCTCTGCAAATCTCTGTAAAGAGGAGGCCTCACCTTCCAAAGGTGCCTCTAGCTGGTGAGGACAAAGTGGGGTGGGATTGAGAATGATTACTTGCTTCATTTGACTGATGGGAATCCTTGTTTGAGTACTCTTGCTTGGGTTGCTCAGGGTGCTGTTCTGAAAGGTTAGCTTGCCCAGCACTTCTCTTACACTACTGAGCCCACTGGGGAGTCTCATGCTGTTTCAACAACTTGAAATCCAGCTCAGGGCTAGTGACTGTTCAGCAGAGAGAGAATCCTGTTTATTTTAAACAGTCAAAGGGTAATTGTTTCTTAAATGAAGCATGAGCAAGGCCATTCTATAAATAAGGTAAAAAAGTGCACAGCACCTCTCCCAGCAGGGCGTCTGTCATGTCATTGGACATCACTCCTTGAAGGGTTGATCCAGCTCAACACATGAGTTTTGAGGGAGATTTCAAAGCATAGGCTGTTTCTTGAATTTTGTAGTATTTTTTCCTCACTTGCCAGTGCAGAAATTTTTGCATGCTCAGTGTCCAGATGATATGTTGGGCCAGGTTGATATCTGCTGTAACCTGAGAGTGGAAATCTTGCTCTGGTGTAGTTCAGAAGGTATAAACTATCTCTTTTTATGAGACAGAGAATCTGTGGCCCTGTGTCCAGGTGAGCATGCTGAGAGGTGCTAGGTGAAGGCAGAAGTGCCTTTCCACACCTCCCCTCTACAAAGAGGGTTTGAGAATTGCTGGAACTACATTCTGTCAGTGGGTCCCAAAGGCTTGGAACACTTCTTGGAGCTGGAAGAAGCCTGTGTGCTTGCCCTTGCCCCTCCGTGTCTCTGAGTGGTTTCAGTGCTATAAACAGCAGTTGGATGTGAGCATGAAGGCTCTGCTTTCAGCTTTGATCCCCCTTAGTAACAGGAAACTGAACCTCTCTTGTGCATCTGGGGCTAGTGCTGTAGGGTGGGATGGGAGCAGGGAAGTTGGGCACTGCTGCTCCAATTCTTGCTCCTCAGTCTAAGTTTTAAAAGAGAGCAGTTTTGCTCAGCTTTGGAAGAAGAGGTGTAACCATCTGTCTCCAGGAGAATGTTCCAGGCTGTGGATCCCACAAGGAGAGAGGCACCTCTGGATCATGGTAAAGGAGAGGGTTTCAGGCCTCAGCATTCCCTGTTGGCTACTGCAGACCTTTGGATTCTTGAGCTACTGAGAGCCCAATAAATTCTCTGCTCTTTTTTTCTGCTTGGCTTTGGGCTTCCTCTGGGTTTGGATGCTGCTTTGAGGTGCTGATGATGTGTATTCTGGCTTTTCCAACATCAAGGCTCTCTGAGTTTCCTCGCTTGCCCTCCTTCCTTGTAAAAAATGAGAATGCTTTTGGTAGCTGGTAGCTGAGGAAATGTTTGGGAAAAGCAATTTACATCCATTGCATTCTGTCATTGCAAGATAGGTTTGATACTGGATTATTGAACTATGCTAATTCTGTAGGGCTTTCCCTTATTTCTTTAGCTTTTAGTGTGTTTTGGCTTCTGCCCAGTTGGAGGCCTTATGTCCCACGGGACATGTATGGCAGGGCCAGGCAATGAATCCAGTGATCTCACATTGTCCTAGGCTGGTGTTGAGACCACCTTTCCCAATATTATGGCTGTGAGTGCTCTCAAATGATGCATGGTGGCAATTAAAACTGCATTAATCACCTATCAGTACAATGAGGGGAAGAAAATATTCTTCACTGGAGAGGTGGGGTAAAAAAAAAAAAAAGTAAGTAATGATAATGGCCAGGATCAGCTGTAGGTAAGTTTGATGATGGGCCTGTTAGTCACCATGGGGAGCTGCATTCCTGTCTCACCTCCATGAATGTGCAGTGAGAGATCGCCTGGAACATCATTAATGGAGCATGCAGCAGGACCCACCTGCTCTGTGGTAGATGGCCCTGGATGATAAGTGATGCTGAAACTTACTTCTAAGAGGCAGCAAAAATTGTGTTGTAAAATATTTTGGACTCATTTCCTTGCATGTAATGTTGATTTTTCTTGAACAACTTCTCTTAATTTGTGGGAGTGCTTGCTGGATCTTTCTTACTCAAAACATCCCAGATTTATTCAGGTTTCTTCACTGGGTTTTTGTTAATTAGTTGTCTTGTTAAACTTGGCCTTCACAGAGGGGTTGAGTCAATCATACTCTGTGAAGAGACAGGATTAAGTAGAAAGTGCTTAAGAAGAAGCATAAATCAAAATGTTGCAAGTATAGCAAAGGCTGAAATATGTCGTCTTGCTGGCTTCAGGAATGGTGCTAAGACAAAAGATGTAGTGACTGATGATGCTTCCAGGAGCCAATGTAGTGTTTTCATCAGTGCACTCATTTTTCCAACCTTTCTCTCCTGCTGTCTGCATGTGTAAGCTATGGTTAAGGACCAGAGTATCCGTCCTTTAATTAATAGCAAACTTTTCTTTCATGTGCCAGCTGGAAAAGGGTAATTAGTCAGGAAAGAATAAAAAGCCTGAAGAAAGGGAGTGGCATAACTAGAATTAATCATAATTTGATTCTAACATGTAGAGAATCAAATAATACCTAGAAGAGAGATGGGAGTATGAATTTCAGCTTTTCTGTGGGAAAAAGTACTTGTATGTTTTGTTTCCTAGGTACTTTATCCTCTAGACTTGATAGAACGAATGAAATGTGACAGTTTTGATTGTGTGATTCTGATCTTTTTTTTTTTTTTTTTAAATACCATCTAGGATTGGCATTTTCAGGAATATGTTCTCTTGGTTGTCTTTCTAATGCAGCAGCCCTGGTCTGAATTCTGCAGCTGCTTTGAGTATATGATGATGTACACTTTTCAGCTGCACAGTGTATTTCTTTTCTGTGAT